TTATATCGAGCTCAATATTAGAATTGAGGGCATACGTACCCCGAAGCGAAGACGGCGGGGGAACTGCCTTAACAAATCTTTGTCTCCTTTATTTTTCAGCACTTTCATTTTTGCTTGATAATTGAGTAATTTTAGTATAAGCAATTTTATCAAGTTAGCATTGGTTTGAGTAAGTGATTAACACTGTTTTTAACACTAGTACAATAGTGTATTGTACAAGGAAGCTAGAGTCACTTACTCAAGGCAAAACTCACTTGGAGTGCCTCGCACGCCAAGTGTTTGACAAAGTGCCTACACCAAAATTCACTTGTATTTTGGTTGGCTCTGTGTGGCATTGGAACTAGTCTTACTAATTAGTGATATTAATCAATTGATAGTGTGACTAGTGTGGTGGTTCTATTTGCTCATTATCATAATCCATAAGGCTAGACGCATATCCGGTCTTCTAATAACGGTTCGTTATAGACGGTATTTTTTCCATGGCCGCTTCCGCAATTTCAAAACATTTTAAAACCAATTTTATTAGTAGCGCCGACGGATTTTTTAATTGGGATCTATTCAACCCCCTTCTAGATCCGTGTCATCGTCTAACAAAAGCTAGACGCCTTGACATAAAGTTTTTGTTTGCTCCACTATCAACCAACATCAACAACGGTAACACTCCTACCGTCCCTTGCAACTTGATGCATTGAAGCTTATCTTGACAATACTCAGTTTGTTTATCAAAAGTCAGCACATTCAATTGCAATTCTTCTGCACTTGTTTCAACATCTTCATCGTTCAACACTCTGACTTCATTTTCCTCTTCAGAGTCATCCTCTAGCACCATAACACGCAGATTTTTATCAAGAAATTGATGGTGAGGATGATACTGACCTCCACATTTAAAACAGAGCCCTTTTTGACGGCGGTCAGCAATCTCCTGTAAAGACAGACTCCTCACAGTTCGGTCACGCCAATTTCCAGTGCTGGCTGTATGAGTTTTGTTTTGTCCGAAACCAGATATTCCACACGAACCACCTGTTGATTTTCCTCTTGAAAAACGATCACCATTGTCTTTATTATTACGAACCATAACCCAATCGCCATTTCTGCCTTCATTTTGTGTGACAACCTTATTACCAAAAACAGGTCGGGACAGTGACCCATGTGACCTTTGCGGTGTCCAGTCTTTTCGCCCTTCTTCCAATTCACGTTCTACTGCTCGAGCCACGTTCATTAACTTCGCTCTTGACATAGGACCCATAGCGATCATGTTGTGAACCTTTCCCCTAATTTTTTCCCTCAAACCATGAAAGAAATAACCCAAATATTGGTCATTGGGTAATCGGGACAGTTGTGTTACTAACCTCTCAAAATCATCGATGTATTCTTCAATTGTTCCTTCCTGTTAAAGCGCAGAAAGTTGTTCAAATACATTCTCATCACTTACACCACCATACCTCTCAAGAAGTGCATCTTTCAAATTCTCCCATGTCAATGTTTCATTCTCCTCCAACAGTCCTTTGAAAAAATGAATTGTAGAACCATTTAAACATAATTGTGCCAAATTCACTTTGATTTCAGGTATAGTATTCTGCACATTGAAATAGACTTCCGCCCTAGCAATCCAACCGGCAGGATCCTCACCATTAAACATCAGTAATTCCACCTTCTTCACAGATAGGCGAAATTCATCCAAAGATTCACCCTATAAGCCAGAATTTTTCTTTTTGGTACCAACTGACCCATTATCGTGCAATGATTCTCCCACATCTCTCTTTTTATTCGAATTTAATGAAGAGATGATCTTCTCCTGATTGTCTTTATTTTGATTTTGCATTTCATGTAAAAAAACCTCCAGAGTTTTGAGTTTCTCTTTAAGTGCAGTCACTATTGCCTCCATCTTCTTTGGTGGCATCCGGCAGGTCGGACCAATTTGATAAGGTGAACAATACCCTGGTAGAACAGAATTATAGAGAAAGAGAAATTGCAAGGAACTTGCGATTTTTCATTGATAAACAAAGGAGATATAATCTGAAAACTACAAGAGCATTTGCTCTCTCAGAAGATAACTTCTTTTGGCCAAGTAACTTTCCAATAAACTTCCCAATAATAACCCCCTAAAAAACAATAAACAATAAACAATTTAAATACAATCCACAACATCAGCCAATAACTAACTATTTAAATTTAAACTAACACTAAAATTATATTACTTATTTATTTTATTTCTCCTTTGATAAACCCTCCAAATAACGGGTTTACCCTTCTTACAATCAGGTGGTGGCTGCATACTTTTGTGGTTGGCAAATATCACAAGACCACACAAATCCCTCAGTTTGCTGCATTCCCACCCAGTATAGGTTTGTCTGCCATAGACCAATAAGAAAATAACTAGAAAGCCTTTGATTTAGGAGATTTGCACTCTTAATAACAATACCCTTCCAAAAATCCTTGTTCAAAACCATATCCTTAACAAATTTTCCACCCTTGACTTTGCAAACTTGTTGGTCTTTCATTGGTCACTTGTGAATATTCTAATCAAAGATCCCTGTTCTCATGAAGGCATCTTAAATCTATGTACAATGTTGCAAAGCAAATTAAGCCCAGTCTCACCAAAATCTCTCCGTACTGGCCGCTTTGCAGTGCCGTCATAGCAGATTATGGCAGAAAAAACCCAAAATATCGGCTGATATTACCACTGCGGTGAGCCCAAAAACCACCACAAATATCTGCCATGGCGTCACCATGGTCGATATTCGATAACAGTGGTGGACAGCAAACGCATCATTTGTGGTTTGAACTTCCTGCTTTAAATATTTGACTCTAATGTCATGGTATGATGGTGGCTGAAATCCTAAGCCATGCTTTGCAGCAGATTGAAGCATAACTCAAAATTCTTCCCTCCTTGCCACATTGAAAGCAATGGCATTGTTATAGAAAAACCTAGCAATATCTATATATGCATCTCCTTTCAATTCTTTCTTACACACATTATTGATTGTGAGTTGCGAGCCAAATACCCTCTTAACAATATTTTTGGAGCAGTTAACAACACCTTCCACTTCACAACTTTTCCTTTTTCAGTAACTTCTACACAATCATCTTCATTGGTTTACACAATCATCTTCATTGGTGGCTTCATTGGTGGCTGTTGATCTACATTGGTGGCTGTTGATATTTGTGTATATATATATATATATATATATATATATATATATATATATATATATATATATATATATATATATAGAGAGAGAGAGAGAGAGAGAGAGAAAGAGAGAGAGTGTTGAGAATATGTGTATATAAAATAGTCTCACATCGAATATATCATGTAACTAGTTGCAATCTATTTATATATAATAATGTCTCCGTAGTGCTTTTCAAAACACACGGTTTATTCATTTGTCTCTTAGTCTCTTGTATTTCAACATGGTATCAGAGCCTCGTTTAAGATCCGGTGGGCCACCTTCAATGCTTTCCACTGTCGGCCCACCCACCATTTATTTTCACGCTTCAGTTGTCAAGTCCTGAGCGTGAGGGGGGTGTTAAAAGTCCCACATCGGACAATATATGGCATGAACATGTGTTTATAAGTGGGGGCAATCCAACCACATTTCTTAACATGGTATCTAAAGCCTACTAAGAGGCAATTCTTTCTTCGCCGTACTTTACCCGGTTGACCTACTGTCTTCCGGTGAGAAACTTTTTTTTTTTTGGCAAACCGTGTTGTCACTCCGGTTTGCCTCTCACTTTTCAAAATTCTCCAGTAACCCTCTTGCCGCCGTTACACTTAAGTTTTAAAGCAAGGGTTCTCAAACAAATTTACACTTAAGTTTTAAAGCATCTCCATTAATAAAAACTCCGTACTTCCAAGCAACATCATTCCTATTATACACGATTCGGCATAAATAAGATTTCGGGTGTACTCATAATTGTTCTGAGCAACAATAATCACAAAATCGTATGATTTTACAATTCAAATTGCAACTTTAACTACCATGGATTCAAATAGCTATTTGAATTGTAAAATACATGCTACTTTGCATCTGTATGCAATTAGAGCCATGCAAAAGAAAGAAATCGTCTGAAGCCAGAAACCATCAATAATGTTATTTTTGTCATGGCAAATGCAAATTTGGACAAAAAGAAGCAATTTCGAAAACTGCCTGAAGATCAAGTGTTCTTGGTGTTTTTACTAGCTTTTATTGTTTTGATTGACACTTTTTGAGTTTGAGTTCGTTGTTTGAGACTAGTTTTTTATTCGCTTTAGTTGTTTTGTTAATGCAGCAATGTTTATGAATTTAAATTTACACAAGTATTTCTAGAGTGATTTAAGGTTTTCTATATCTTACTTATGCTACTTTATATGAATTTATATGCATATACTTTAGATTTATGAACTTTTTATAATCTTACGATTAATGTTAAGATTGTATGATTTTAGTTACCTATCAATTTTGCATAAAATCTAGATTTTAACTACCTTGTTAGTGAGGGGCAATACAGCAACAGAAAAATGATTATGACAATGCCCTCTAACAAAGTAAGATCCTTTAAGGGGTCAGAACGGTGAATTAGGTATTAAAAAATCTTCAAACTTCTGTCTGGAAATCATGATGCATGTCATGGCTAAGACAATTTTCTGAGCACAGAGGAAGTTTTTAAAACAAAATTAGGAATAAGTTTCATAACCTGGAAAATAGTAATTCAACCATTACATAATTAGTTTTATTAATGATGATCATTTTTTATAAAAACTAAATATCTTCAAAAGCAGTCTAAACTCTCTATGGCTCATTATGTTTCTCCTGTTTTCAGTATGCTGAAACCCCAAAAAGTATTTTTATGTTAACCTAGGCGGATCTGTACTCAATCCATCAAGGGTATTGCATGATTATGTGTTCATCTAATTTGAAAGAAAAAGAAAAAATCATACCAAGGTTGACAATTGTGTAGCAGATTTGGGTATTTAAAGAACCGAGTGAAAAATAATACTGTTAACATTTAACGCTAACCTCTCTGTGCCTGGCATGTTCTGCATCTTCAACATCCTGCTGTTCTTTAGTCAGCTTAATAATGTCATCATGAAAATTCTGCTCAAGACCTTCAAAAGTTTGTGATGAATGATTTCCTTCATATCTAACGTCTATATCTTCTCCATGGGCCTGAGACCTGGAATCACTGTTGCTCCGGCTCTGCAAAGCTAATTTAGGATCAGGCCTCTGCCCTTGAAAATAGGACCTTGAAGCATCACCCCCTTGACCTGAACATGCAAAGTTGCCCTAAGATTCAGAAACCAAAAACTGTTTTTATATATATGAAAAACCTTTAACTAGGCATTTTAGACATGATAACCAATGCTCTAACAATTAGAAAGTATGATAGTTTATGCAACAACGTAAAATACACACCAAGATCAGCATTCATCTTAGATAAAACAGTTTTCATAGCAAGGGTTACAAAGAACACCATAAGCAAGCATGAGGAAACAACGAATAGCACTTACCTTCATTAAACATGTGAGACATCATAGGATTAGAAATCTTCGATTCATCCGATTCCCATCTCCACTGACCCTCTGGCTTAGAATTTGGATACGGATTGTCTCTTTCTGGAGTGAACGCCTCTAGTCGCCCCTCAAAATTACCAGACTTGGTTTCCACCCTTTGACCAACCATATGATGAGGATGATGATGCATCTGTGAAGCCCCGTAACTATTGGCAGATGCATCACCATACTGTCCCTGTCGCCTCATTGTTTCCGAAAAATTCCTGTGTGAACAACACAGCCTTAATGACATTAAGGCCACAAAAACCCTAACCAATCACTTAACCAAGCTACACTAGAATTGTATGCAATCATGCATATGAAACAAATTGAAACAGAAACTGCAGAATAATGTGTACTTTTTTGCATACACAGAAAAGCATAATTTCTCAAAAAAATTTGGGAATTGAAAAACAAACAGATAAAACTAAAATTATAATAGAATATAGATAACTGTAGAACATTTGGATAAGAGAAATTAAACTACAAACTTAGGTTAATCTATTTAAAGTAGTAAACTTTGCATGTGTAAGACAGTGCAATTTAATCGGAAGAAAGAAGAAAAAAGTTACAAATCTTTGAATAGAGAATAAGAGGTTATCCTCTGAGTGATACTGTAACGTACCGAATCGCCAGACACTGTGGAGGTTTTCGATTATGGAGCTACTGAAATGAAACAATGGAGGAATTGGGATTCGTCTTCGATTATTGAGGAAGAAAATGAATTATTAAAATTTGTTTTTATGCTGGTACACACTTTGACACAAAATCAAAATTAAATTAAAGCTATATACTGAAATTCCTAAAATGCCTATTGTGTTTTATTTAAGGAGAAGTTATTTTTGTCTCATTATTAGGGCTGGCAATGAACCAAACCAACTCGAAGATAGTTCGGAATTCGACTCGACAATTAAATCGATGAACTAGGTTCATGAACCAAATGAGTTGAGTATGAGCGAAAAATTAAGTTCGTTAACTAAATGAGCTGAACTTGAACTATACATAGTTCGACTCGTTAGGTTCATGAGTCAACTCGGTTACATATGAAAAGAATTATACTATCTTTAAGATTAGGTTTAAATATTTACTTCAAATCTTAGACAAATTTAATCTTCAATTTAGTAGTTTTGAATTAGACTCTCAAATGTGTCTCTTGAAAGTTGTGTAGGTTTTGAATTAGTAGATTTCAAAGATAAAGTTAAATTTCAATATGATAACTTTTATTTTATTTTAATATTTTATTTAAAAAATATATATTTATTTAAAATGTAAAATATACCAAAAATTATATATATTTAAAAAAATAGTTTTTAAGTTCGTGAACCATGTGAGATGAACCTAATGAGATGAACCTAACGAGTCGAACCGAACTGTTCGTGAACTTATAACGAGTCGAGTTTGAGCTTAAAAAAAAGTTCGTGTCAAACTCGAACTCGAACTCGAATTCGAACAATTCTTAATGAGTCGAGCCGAGCTGAGGTGAGTTCGACTCGACTCGACTCATTTCCAGCCCTACTCATTATGTTTCATCTTACCCCTACAAGCAATTGGATTGGATGGTAAATGTGTCTTTCGCTTAACTAGAGGACATGAGTTCAATTTAGTGATGAGTATGGAGTAGTGTTAAAGCTTTTGAGAGAAAATTTTGTCATCTATCGTGATTTTCCTAACTCAAGTGATCAGTCTCTATAATTGAGCATGAAGTATACCTGATTTATACTATAAAAAAAATTGTTTGATTGTGCGTGTATTTTGTATTAGTAATAATTCATATTTTATTATATTACTTTATTAAGCCCATAAGTTTGTTAGAGGGTATTTTAGTATTTTATCTTATTCTAGTAACCCTAGTTTTAGCCTATAAATAGGGTGACAATCATTGTAACCAAATAATCCTGTTTTTCCTGCCGTCATTCTTAATAGAATATTTCTACCTTTTCATCATTTATTCTATCTTTGCACCAACAATTGGTATCTAGAGCTCCGGTTCAGATTCATTGGGAAACACGGGAAACACGAGTGAACGTGAGGTCTTGTGTGTTTGATTTTGATTCTTAGATTCGTGTTGAATCTTGAACAAAATCTGATCAGAATTTTATTCTGTAGGTTGGGAAACACTGTGTGAGAAATCTGAGTGTATTGTGCAAAGTAGAAGATGAACGGAAACGGCAACATGAACACCAAGCTTCCAGTATTTGACGGTAAAAACTGGAATCGTTGGATGATCCAAATGCGTGTACTGTTTGGTGCTCAAGATGTTTTAGATCTTGTCACTGATGGTTATGTTCCAGTAGCAGCAGATGCAACCGATGAACAGAAAAACGCGCAGAAGGAAGTAAGGAAGAAGGATCAGAAAGCATTGTTCTTCATTCATCAATGTGTGGATGTAAACGTGTTTGAGAAGATTGCAGACTCTACAACAGCAAAGGCTGCATGGGACACTCTGGTGAGATGTTATGGTGGTGACGCATCAGTGAAGAAGGTGAAGCTTCAGTCCTTGAGAAAGCAATATGAGAATCTCAACATGAAGAATAATGAGAAAGTTTCTGAATACATCTCCAGAGTGATTCTGATCACTAATGAGATGAAGGCGTGTGGAGAAACTCTTTCTGAAGAAACAATCATGGAGAAGGTATTGAGATCCCTTACCTCTCAATTTGATTACATTGTGGTAGCAATAGAACATTCCAAAGATCTGAGTACCATGAGAATTGAAGAGCTGCAGAGCAGTTTAGAAGCGCAAGAGTTGCGTTTGACTGAAAGAACTTCTGAAAGGGAAGTAGAGCAGCAGGCTCTGAAAGCAATTTCTGATAGGAGGTATCAGAAGCAGTCAGAAGCCAAGAGAAGATCTGATGGTGGTCAGAAGTCAGAAACCTCAACCTCTGATAGACAAAAGAATGCTCAGAAGGGAAAAGAGAAGTATGACAAGAAGAAGATCCAATGTTACTGTTGTAAGAAGTTTGGTCACTTTGCTAGAGATTGTTGGTCAAACAAGGAGAAGAAATCAGAAGAAGCAAATATAGCCAGAAGTTCTGATGACGAATCTGTGCTATTGATGGCCTCTGAATCTGATGATCTGACAGACTGGTGGTATATGGACACTGGCTGTTCAAATCATCTTACTGGAAACAAGAAATGGCTGGTTGACTTTAACTCTGAAAAGAGGACAAAGATCAGATGTGTTGATGACAAATATCTTAATGCAGAAGGTATGGGAAATGTCAGAGTGACTCTGAACAATGGGAAAACAGCATTGATTCAGAACGTGTGGTATGTACCTGGCATCAGAAGCAATCTGATGAGTGTGGGACAATTAATTGAGAAAGGTTTTTCAGTTACCATGAAGGACAATCTTCTGAAGCTGTATGACTGCAATCAGAAGCTGATTATGGAGTCAGAACAGGGAAGGAATAGAACATTCAAGGTGAATGTCAGAACTGCAGACTCAGAGTGTCTTAGTGCAACAAGTACTGAGAAGGATAGTGAGCTGTGGCACAGAAGATTTGGTCATTTGAATTTCAGAAGCTTACAACATTTGAATTCAAAGAAATTGGTACATGGAATTCCTGCAATTAAGAAGCCTGAAAAGTCATGCAAAGTTTGCATGGAAGGAAAACAACCAAGATTGCCATTTGCATCAGAAGTTGCTCCAAGAGCAAAACATGCCTTGGGAGTTGTACACTCTGATGTGTGTGGTCCATTTCCAGTAGCATCAATTGGAGGGAATAAATACTTTGTGTTGTTTGTTGATGAATTCACAAGAATGACATGGGTATCCCTTATTAAGTTCAAACACGAGGTGTTTGATGAATTCAAGAAGTTCAGAATGAAGGCTGAGAATCAGAGTGGTCAGAAGTTGAAGATTCTTAGAACTGATGGTGGAGGTGAGTATAACTCCAAAGAATTCCAGAAGTTCTGTGAGGAGAATGGAATTGAGCATGAGGTTACTGCTCCTTATACCCCTCAACACAATGGTCTTGCTGAAAGAAGAAACCGTACTTTGCTTGATATGGTGAGAAGCATGCTAAAGGAGAAGAAACTTCCTCAGAAGCTCTGGGGAGAAGCTGTTGCCACTGCAACGTATGTACTCAACAGATGTCCTACGAAGAAGTTGAAGGAAATAGTTCCTATGCAGAAATGGACTGGAGACAAGCAAAGTGTTAGTCATTTGAAGGTATTTGGTTCTGTTTGCTTTAAACATGTTCCAGAAGCCAGAAGACAGAAGCTGGATGATAGAAGCAAAGTGATGATTCTGATAGGGTACCACAGTACAGGTGCATACAAGCTCTATTGTCCAGAAACCAATAAAATTGAATTCAGCAGAGATGTGATTGTGAAGGAATCAGAAGTTTGGAATTGGGATAAGTCTCAATCTGATTCTGATGTTAGAACCTCTGAAGAAAGGCCAGAGTTAAGAATTTCTGAAGTTGAAGTAAACCCTGATATTGACTCTGACTCTGATACTGATTCAAACTCTGAAGAAGACTCAGAAGATGAAGGTGACCCAGATGACCCAGACTCTGATGATTCAGACTCTGATGGCAATCCAGATCTTGGTGGCAATTCAGACTCTGGAAATATGCCAGACTCTGAAGATGGTCAAAGCTCTAGAGGTCAATCATCTGAAGCTAGAAACTCTGAAGCTCAAGACTCTGAACAAGTTCAGAGACCACAAAGAATCAGAAGCGTTCCCAGAAGATTTGCAGAATTTGACATGCTGCAAGACACTGAAGTAGACTCTGAAGGAGAAGTTATTCAGTGTGCCATGTTAGTAGACTCTGAACCTATAAGTACAGAGGAGGCTCTTAAGCAGAAGCTCTGGCTGAAGGCCATGAAAGAAGAACTTGATGCTATAGAGAGAAACAAGACTTGGAAGCTGACAGAACTTCCAAAAGACAAGAAAGCCATCAGCGTCAGATGGGTTTTCAAGCAGAAGTTAAAGCCAGATGGCTCAATTGGCAAACATAAAGCAAGGTTGGTAGCCAGAGGATTTCTACAAAAACCTGGGCTGGATTATTCTGAAGTGTTTGCACCTGTAGCAAGACATGAAACAATCAGAATGGTGATTGCAATAGCTGCTAACAGGAATTGGCCTCTGATGCATTTAGATGTAAAATCTGCATTTCTGAATGGTCCATTAGAAGAAGAAGTTTACGTGTCACAACCTCCTGGATTTGTGAAAAAGAATCAGGAAGGGATGGTGTACAG